CGTGCGTCCAGGGGTTGCGACACAGACGCGTCTGCCAGGAATTCTGAGCTCCACTATCCCAAATCTTAACTTCCAGTCTCCCCCTTCCTTAGGCTGTACTTTTAGCTTTCGTGGCGACCTCGGTTGAAAGCCCGCGGGGTTTGAGCAGAAATACGAAAACTGCTGTTGAAAATGGCTAAATCTCCTCGGGACCCCAGAAGAATTCGGGGTAGGCGGACATCTCCCCATCGTCCCCATCACCATCCCCATCACTGGGAGCGGGTGCGCTGGGACAGCGGGGCTTCAGGAGCCGGGAAGACGACGCTGCCGGGCCAGGCCGCAGAGACTCAGCCGGACTCGCTACTCGGGTTCTGTAAAACCCACGCTCTCGACACCTCAGCATTTCCGCCCCCTCGGGGCGGGGGACCGCCTTGGCCGCGACGCCGTTCCCGGGCTGCGCTGCCCTATCTGTCCGCGCGACACCACTGCCCCTCATAAACCAGCCTGGCGAAGGCCGCGACGGCCGCGCAGCCCGGGAACCGCGGGCGCATTAGAAACGACTGTTCCCGTTGCACAATAACGCAGGGTCGTATAACAAACAAACAGCAACAGGCCGCCCGAGGGGAAAGGGAGCTGGCGAGGGGCTGGAACGCAGAAGACGGCGCCTGTCCCCCGAGAACGCACGGGACCCATCCTCCTCCATCCTCCCCTGCTTCTCCCACATTGAACTAAAAGGACGCTCCATTCTCAATCCAAACCCAGCGACCTCGGCCCCCTCTCGTCCACCCGGCGCTTTCTGGGCCCACACAGAGCCTGCGAGGCGTCCACTGGCGGCCCGGAGGAAAGGAAAGGTGACCCAGGTTAGCCTCCGCTCCGGGCCCCCGGGGTTCCAGCGCCGCGCTCCACTGAGATCCGGGCGCCGACCGCCCGGGGCTGGGGAAAGCGGGATGCGCCCCCAAAGCCCACTAGAGGGCGCGACAGCCCCGCGAATCTTACCCGGCTCGCCGGCCCGCTAGCCCACAGCACAGGCTCCTGGTCCCCGACAGCGCTGCCGGGAGTGCTGCGCGCAGACTTCACCCGGGAGGCTCTGCGCTCGGACAGTCCAGCCCCAGCCACCGTCCGGTTTCTGACCCCGGGATCCAGAGGAACACTGCGCGGTCGGCTCGCCCTCCCGCCTCCACCACGCCCTCGGCGGCTCGGTTGTCCTGGGGTTGGTGGCGATGCCCAGCCGCTCCCGGGACCTGCGTCCGTGCGCGCCGCACTCTGTACCTCAGAGCTGCAAAGGCCGCCGCGCCCCAGGCACAAAGCTCGGCGTTTGCATTGTTTTCAACTGAGACCCGAGAGGGGGCCGGGCAGGGTGTGGGGAGAGGGGGGAGAGCGGGAAGAGAGGCCGGGCGGGTGGGGGAAAAGGGGCCGAGGGGTTTAGGGTTACAGGCGCTCGCCAGCGCCTCCTATGGGCACGAGAGCCGCCCGGCAGTGGGTAGCGGCTCACATGGAATGCTGGAGAGAGCTAGCCTGCGCCCTCTCGGCATTTAAGAACTGTTCCTGGCCCGGCGCGGTGGCTCACGCCTGTAATCCCAACACTTTGGGAGGCTGAGGTGGGCGGATCACCTGAGGTCAGGAGTTCTACACCAGCCTGGCCAACATGGTGATACCGTCTCTACTAAAAATACAAAAATTAGCCTGGCGTGGTGGCGGGCACCTGTAATCCCAGTTACTTGGGAGGCTGAGGCAGGAGAATCGCTTGAACCCGGGAGGCGGAGGTTGCAGTGAGCCGAGATCGCACCACTGCACTCCAGCCTGGGCGACAGAGTGAGACTCTGTCCAAAAAAAAAAAAAGTGCCCTCTGGTGCCAGCTTGCCCGACACGCGCCTTAGCCGCCTCTGCCCCCTGACAAGTCCGCGCCCACCCGCGCTTGTAGCTACCCTTTCGCGGGGGCCAAGAAACTGCAGCAGGAGGCAGGGAAGGAGGCGCCCCAAGTCGGGGTTCCCATTATTCCCTCCTACAATCTACTTTTTCAGCCCATCCCGGGTTCGCTCACTGATCAGTTTAAAACAAAAGGAAATGCCGCCGAGCCACTTCAGCAAACGACAACCATCTGGCAGAAACTGAACTAGGGCGAAGTTGGGAGATGCCATTTGCCCCGATCCTGTATCTTGCGCCCCAGGCGAGACCGAAAGATTATCTGCCGCCCCAAGGCTGATGCTGCGGTGGACCCGGCGAGTTAGACCAGGGGGACCCTGAGACCCACACCTTTCGGTCACTGATCAGGCTTTTAGCTCTTTTCCTAGAATTGCCACTTTTCCACCAGCAACGTATAACCTGGTCGCAGCTCCCCGGAGGTCAGAGGGAGTCCTTCCCTGCGGGGTCTGCAGGAAGGCGCTGGCCACCACGTCCCCAAAATGCGTCCCGCCGCTGCGCGCCGCCCACGGTCTGTCCCCAGGAGGCACAAAATGGGCCCGCCTCGGCGCCAGACGTGTTTGCAGCTGGAAAGCCCAGCCCAATGCCCCTCCCCCTGCATCCCTCCTCAGTCCGCGTCCCGAGAGGAAACTGGCCCAGGGGCGGAGAGCTGGGAGCCTGGGCTCTCCTTCAAGTCCCTCTCGATCTACGGATTTAAACAAGAGCCAGGGCACCGGGGGCTAACGACGGGTTCATTCTTGGCGTCCCCCCACTCTCGTTCCTCCTCACTCTTGTGAACGAGGTCCAGCTGCACTTGGCTCAACCCAAAACTGTGCAAGCTCCGAAGTAGGGCCTGACCTGTGCGTCAAAGCGAGGCTGCTCGGCCTCGCGCCTGTCGGGAAGGCGAGGCAGGGCCTCCTCATAGTGAGGATTGTGGAAAGGAGGAGGCCGAGGAGAGAGGGAGAAGAGGGAGGGGATGCAATTCGGCAGTGCGGGGGTCCAGATTGACCAGATTAGGGGTCGGGGGTGGGTCAGCGCGGCGGCTGGTGAGGTGCGCACGCCCGGGACCCCTTCCTCCCCTTCTGTGGCTGCGGGATGTTTGTTGGGTGAGATGCACTGCGGAGGATTGTCGTGCCTCGTTTGCCCTGGATGCCTCTCCCTGCTCCAAAAATCTGTCTAGTTCTGGTCAGGAGCGACCGCGGCGAGGCGAGTCGGTCCAAAACATTGAGCAATTCGGCCTCGGAGCCAAAAAGCCATTTCCCACACCGCCCAGCCCGGGGCTTTTCGGACGTGGGGCGGTCGGGACCTGATAGGGGTCCCATCCATGCTTGCCTCCCACTCAGGGAGATGGAGTGAGTGGCAAGTTCTTCCAGGCACTCTTTGCGCACATCCTGAGGTCTTAGCAGAACTGGGGGAGCGAAGTGCGGGACCGGCCCTCTGGCTGCAGGAGGGATGCACAACGGACAGCCGGCCTGGGCAGCAAGTCCCTCCCGACCAAGACTCGAGGCCAGGTCACCGACAGTTCCCGCACACCTGGCCCGGCCCCGGCTCCTGGCTTCCTCCCGCAACCGGACTCGGGTCGGGCCACACTCCTTGTCGCTCCGACCTGGCCGTCACCCTCTCGGAATAGAACAGCTGATCCCACATATTCAGAGTCAAACGGACGCAGCCCGCTCCCCGGACGCAGCCGGGCGGAGTTAATCGTGTATAAACCTTGTTTCCATGGGGGTAGACAGCAGAGGAAGGAGAAGTACGCACAGACGGCTCTGAACCCGGCAGGGAGAAGAATGGAGAAAAAGGGCGACTAGAGAGGACCGAGCAGCGCTGGGCGAGCGCAGACGGCAAGTGCCGTGCACCCCCGCGCGGAGAGGGGCGCCGGGTAGGGGGTGCCCAGGGCTCAGTTGCCCGGAGGGAGAATGTGGTTTACCTCCCACCTTTCTCTTACCTGCAAACAAATTTCCCCAGTTCCAAGTGGTCCCTAACTTACAAGAAGTTCGACACTTTCCTGGAGACCTTTCCTCTCTTCCTGCCTGAGGCCAGAACTGAGCGGCAGCAGAGCCCCGGGCAATGCAGAAACGGTTCCACCGAGGAGGGGGCGCAGGGAGACGGGCGGGGGCGGGGGCCACGGCGCACAATGAGGACCCCTTGGTGTGCGGTTCGAAATTCCTCAAATCCCAGTTGCTGGAATGCGAGGCGACATCGACTTCTTCACTCAGGGCCAAATGTGTTTGTCATTATTCCAGACCGCCCGCCCGCGCCGCCGCTGTCGCCCCCGCGCTAGGGCGTGCAACCCGAGCGTACAGCCGAGCAGGCACCCGCTCTCCCTAGCACCTCACTGACCCGACAAACCCCTCCAGAGCGCCCCAAAACCTTGCCCACGCCCGCGCCCCTCTGCTTGTCCCGCAGCCGCGTCACCGCTGCGCCAAATCTGGCCCGGACTCTCACCCAGAGCAGCGCCGTCCAGTAATTACGCGCATTCGACCGGCTCCATGTGCTGCAGGCCAGCACGGAGGTCCGGTCTCCAGCCGAGCCCTGCCCGCCTCCTGCGACCAGCAACCCCTTCCCGCGCCCCCCTCCGCGCTCCCCTCTCCCCACCTCCCCTGGTCCCCCAGCCGCGCTCCACACCACGGGCTGCAGCGCTGTCCCGCCAAACCGCAGGCGAGGAATGAAAACACTCATTTAAAACCTGTCGCCTTCCAGGACCCACTGCCAAGAAGAGGGCAAACACCTCTGCCTCCACCCCCAGTTCCTTGGTGTTCGGCCCAGTATTCATGAACACCACCCCCACTCCCAAAAGAAACCTCAAAAATGTAAGCCTAAACAATTTCTTTGGGAGGCCATAGGGTTGTTAGAAAAACATTGTTTTTTAAAAATAGGTCTGGAAAATGTGTGTTTAAAAAAAAATCCCTAGACTTTCTAATTCTATGGTTATCTCCCACCCATCCCCAAGTGAAGTTTATTCCGAAAAAAAAAAAAAAATCCTCTCTGGACACACATTTGGAATCCAGCTCCATTTTTTTTTCTTGTCGCCCAAAGTTTGAAGTTACTTCCCTTTCTCCAGTCCCAGAGTCTGATCAGGGACTTCTCTTATAAACAAAAAATCATTTTTTCTTCTTCCTTACCTTCTCCTATGTTATTCCGCAATGAATGTCCCACACATGGAGTAAAGAGCGTGTCCACGGCCTCCAATGATCTGTTGTAGTCTCCTCCTCTGTTTCTCTCCCTGTAGCTCCAACAGTAACGGGCTCAAAAACCGCGTTTTGTAATTGATTCAATGTTATAGTCCATCCTTCTAAAACTAATCATTTGCTCTAAGTAAATAGCTGTCAGGAAATAAGCCCCCCCCCCGAACCTTGGTCTCTTCAAAATAAAAGTTTCGCTCAAACTCCCCTGCGCTCCGAAGCTCCCAGTCTCCAGATTGCGCCTTCGCTTTTTGCTCTTACGCAATCAGGGGGTCCAGTCCCAACCCCCAGACTTCGACAACAACTGGGGGGCGGGGAGAAGCCGACCAGATGGGATGGGGGGGTGGAAGGGGGAGGTGTTGGTGCTCTGCCGGGAAAGCGGTTTTGTGAAACTACAAACAGCCCATCATTTCCAGAATGAGTTTGCCTCCCCATTTTGGGGTTATTTTCTTAGACTGCTATAGTTTTGTGTTCTCTTTGAAAACAAGAAAAGGAACATACAAAATTGCATTTAATACCCAGAGAGAATATAAATCTAGAATCAAGAAACGTCCCTTCTACAAACTCGGCCCAACTAGAAATAGGGCCCTCGGGAGAAATCTCCAAGCGGTTGCGCGGTTTTGAACTAAGGGTCTTTTAGGGGAAGGGCTAAGGGCTATATAGTTGCTAGTTCTTTAACGGGATTAGGCAAACTGTTGAGTCCAATATGACAACGATGAGTTTTTGTTTTGTGTGTGGGGTGGGTGTGTGTGTGTGTGTGTGTGCAAGACTGGGTGGAGTCTGAAATAGGGTACAAAGAAAAGAGGGTCTGTGTAGGTTTGGAACATTCTCCGACAGAACGACCTTTACTCCCTTTAAGTCACTTATCTGGTCGTGCCTTTGTTTTGGGGGTTATCTGGGCGAGGTTGCCCTGGCTTCTAACTCGCATACAAAAAAGTTCAAGCTTGGGCGTTAGGGGAATCGTCCCGCCGCCTCCGCGTCGTGGGAGAGGGTGCCTTTTGATTCTCCCTCCGTTCCCTCCCGCCGAGTGGGTCGAACCCTACGAATGCTTCGGAGTTGACAGCTGAGCCCCAAACCCTGCGCCCAAGGCGCGAGGCCAGTGTCGGGAGGAAACGATCCTGCCGGCGAGGGAAAGGGGGCGCTGATGCTCCAGAAACCAGACCTGGGCAGAGTGGGGCTTCCCAGCGACAGCGGGGGATGGGAGCGCGTTCACCTTTCTCGCTCTCTGATTTTTGAATTCTCTTGTTGGGGTTGGGGGTCATCCTTCATCCTTCTCCCTCAACCCCACCCCCACACAAGCACTCTGAAAATGGCCAAGGTGGCCAGGTTGGGACTGGCACGTCCAACAGCCGTCTCCTCCTTCACCAGGAGTGGACACAGTGCAGTGGACAGAGGAGAGTCACAGAGAAGTACTCCAACAGGCGCGGTGCTGTGTCTAATTAGGACAGGATCTTGGGGTATCAGCCTCGGAAATAGGGCGCCTGGGGCTGCGCTGGGGGCCCCATTGCCCCAGCTCTTCTACGCGACCTGCTCTCGTGCATCTTCAGCTCGGGTGACTGCACAGCTCGCTATTACTTCCACATGTTCCTTCAGGAAATCATTGAAGGCAAATATATGAACAGCCCCTTGTTCGGAATGCTAACAGGATACCGTAATGTTTGTAGAAAATGAGCGGGACAAACGATTCCCCCAAAAAATCAGAGTGCGGAATAAAAGGCAAACGCGGCTGCTGGGCTTCTTGCTGTTAAGTTGAGAACTGGGTTTTTAGGCGAGTTGCCCCAGAGGGTAGGAGGCGAGACAGAGAGCCTACCCAGAAGGACTGCTTTGTTTCGGCGACACTGCTAGCCCGGTCAAGCCAGGGTCTTCCGTCCGCAGGGCCCCAGCGCTCTCCGCCCACAAATGGTAACTTCACAGTTCATTTCAGAGCAGTTTAATGGGGCCCGAAAAGCAGCCCGGGCGGGAGTGGCTCCAGGCAAGCGACTCCTCAGGAGTTTAAAGCAGAAAGCAATGGATGAGCAAGCGAGCACCCAGTTGTCCTTCTGGTAGTAATTACCTGCCTAATTTGAATGATGCCTTTGTTATGACCATTAACAAACATTTGTTAAAGGTTTCCATGTGTGACATTCTGGAAGGTTTAAAGGCCTGAGGAGCTGACTCCGGGGATAGTGCCCCGGTGGGGGGTGGCGCAAGAAAGCAAATGGTTGGGGGAAGATTTCGCGGAGAGACTGTGCAAAGAAGAGAGGTCAACATCTGCCTCCTCTGCAAAACAAAATAAACCCAGTGGTCAGGAGCAACCTCCGGACAGGAGACCCTCGAACCGAGGCGGTTGGTTCCTTAAACCGAGTCCTGCCCCTACAGCCCCCGCCCCTGCCACTGCTCATAGGCGGGTTTGAATCCTGTTTTCCGCCTTCTAAGGCTGGTACGAGGCTGGTTCGGGAGAAGTCGGGTCTGCGCCCGGCAGTCAGTCCGGAGCGTCGGGTGAAGGCGGGGCGAGTTCTTGCCGCGTTCTCCCAGTGTTTGTTCTAAGATCCTTCCAGATTGGTCCCTCGACGCCCTGGGTCCGGGATGGCCCCGGAACCGCAGGGGGCCAGAAAGCTTGCCCTCCTGAGGCGGGCTGCGGGTCTTTTCTCCCCTTCCTGTGCTTCTGACTGGGCGCCGTGCGGGAGGTGGGAGGAGGGTACTAGGCCATCACGTGTACCCGGAGAGGAGCGACCTGCACCGGCCTGGGCAGCTCTGCGCAGATCTCAACCCGTGCCCGGATTCTAATTTTCAGCCTCTTGGGGTTTTTTGTTTTGTTTTTTCCTTAAGGGATTATCAAGGGGTTAAGAATGTGGGTTTTCTCCCCAAACGGGGAGTCGGGGAGGCTGCGTGCGGAGAGGAAGGAGGCTCAACTCCCGAATTGAGCCGGGCCGGGAAGTTAGGAGAAAAGGGTAGGGACTGTGACAGTTCTGTCCTCGGCCTTGCGCATCTACGCCAGCAGGCGACATGAAATTGGGAGCAAGGGCATAAAAAGGTGCAGTCGATGAGCTCACCTTCAAAAAGAGGGCCTCGTAAACTTTTTACAACCAGATCAAAACGGTCACTATAAACAAAAGCAAAATCTCGCCGTGCCTTGCCCTGCCTCCAGGGCCCGTTCTCCCGGCCCCAACTCCCGGGCGAGGGCGGCCGCAGCTCCGAGGGCCACACCTTTGGCTTTGAGGGCGCTTCCCGCTGAGTTGGCTTTTTGTGTCTTCTCCTCCACTGCTCTCCAGCCCCACCCCCAGTTGTACTTTCCTCGAAGAATTCAAGTCCGTTTGCTCTAGAAGCCTTACGAATGTAACAGTTATCAAAGCCGTTAGTTGTGAAAATCACGTTTAAACTTGTGAATTATTTTTTTCAAATGGTGATGGGCGGGGCAAGGGAACAGAGGATGTTTCTGGCTTCACAGTTTGAAAACGAAGGGCCCGTTTGGTGGTTTGCAAAAGAAAATGGTGCGAAGTGCTCCTTCCCTCACCCCCTTTAACCCTTGGCTGCATCTGGAATAGCCCCCTCCCTGGGTCCAGCGCGGAAGGGTCCTTTGCCCGGAGGTAGTGGAGGCGACGCACAGATGTGAGGGATCCTCGCAGAGAGAGGGACGCCCTGGCCTCGGGTCTGCCCCAGCTGAGGCTTGTAAGCTAGCTCTAAGGAGTCTCTTTGCACGCTCAGAATTCAGAACGGCACAAGTCTTGAAAAAGGAGGAATTCTACAAAAAGATCGAGATGGGTCTGTGCAGCTTGAGGTGAAAGTTACCCTCCCCAGGACTCCGCACCCACCTCCTCTTCTCTGTGGTTGTTGGCTGGATCTCAAGGTGCAGCCTCTCTTCTGGGTTTGAGGGGCTCGCTCTCCAAGGAGAAGTAGAAGCAGAGGGTTCCTAACACCACAGCTTGTTTACGGACCTGAGGACAAGAACTTGTTTCCTGGTCCAGTCCAGCCCGGTGGGCCATACACTCCTTAGAGGCTGGGACAGACTGGTAGGACTGGAACCCTCTGGATCTGGCTTTTGGATACCCCTTCCCTCGCGAGAGAGCCCCCTTCCTCGGTTTAAACATGTTGTTGTGCCTCCGCCCTCTCCTGCTCCTTAGGTCTTTCCTTTTAGTTGCTTTTAATTTGAAAAACCATGTGAGGGGAGGGGGAGGGAACGAGGAGATTGGGAGGTCTGCTCTTTATTAGGGGCCCAGGCCTCCAGCTTTCCAACACACAGCTGTGGCTGGGAGGGGAAGTAGGGCTGGCTCTGTGGAGATCAGCCTCACTGAAGAGAGGGCCTTGTCCTCTGGAAGTCCCAGCAGTCCAGCACAGCTCTGTGATTTTTTTTATTATTATTATTATTTTTTATTTTTAAGTCTTCAGCAGAGACACTGCAGTGGAAAACCAGTGGAACCTCGACTCTTTGCGCATCCATTAAAAGGGGGATAATTGACCAGGCAAGGTGGCTCACGACTGTAACCCTAACACTTTAGGAGGCCAAGGTGGGAGGATCACCTGAGCCCAGGAGTTTAAGACCAGCCTGGGCAACATAGTGAGCCCCCATCTTTATTTAAAATAACAGCAATGACAACAATTGGAATAATCATGCACAACCTATAGGGTTGTCCTAGTGGTTCATATGCATACTTAAGATGTACAAGGCCGTGTGTCAAGGGCTGAGGATACAGCCCTTTCCTCCTAGATTTTATGGACTAGTGGAGCAATCAATTAGACATAAAGTTGCAACTTAGCGTTCTAAGCAATGTTGGAGGGAGACAATGAAGTCAGCCACAGGAGGAGCCTAACCCAATCTGGGAGGTGGGAGAGGGCTTCTTTCAGGGAAGGCTTCTCTGCAAATCTAAGAGGAGTAAGAATGTAGTTGGGGAGCAACCTCATTGCATGGGCCGGGAGGTGAGAGAGAACATGAGATAATCAGAAGTGAAAGGAGTTTGGAATGGCTGCACCTTGTAAAGGTCCGCGGGGAAGGAGCAAAAAAGAGGTGAGATAGAGCTCATGGAGGCCTTCTAGACCATGTTAAAAGTCAGAGATGGAAGGCTCCATCGATCCTCCCATCTCTGCAGGTCAGGAGTTCAAAACCAGCCTGGACAACATAGTGAGACTCCATCTCTACAAAAAAATTAAAAATTGACCAGGTGTGGTGGTACACACCTGTATTCCCAGCTGGTCCAGAGGCTGAGGCAGGAGGATTGCATGAGCCCAAGAGTTCGAGGCTGAGGTAAGCTATGATCACACCACTGCGCTCCAGCCTGGGAGACAGAG